AGGAATGCCTATCTGGGTCACAGTTCACATAATGATAACACCGAAACTTGGGCTTATCTTTACATACCCCTTGGACACCAGCTTTTTAGAAGGCTTTGTCTTCAAATATTGCCCCTTGCCCATGGTACTTAGCTTAGGGACTCCTAGTGGATCGGCACTGAGGTAAAGAATAGCTGCAATTACGTCTTTGAATCTAAGAAGACTGATGATGTCTTTTAAAAGTTTGACAGTATAAATTATAACTAATATGTAATGGCTGACACTCTGCAGTGGCTTAAAGTGTTGTTGAATGATTAATGCCACAATTTCATGTTGACCTGTCAATTTAAAATGCAATCATGGCAGAGATGCTGTAAAGCAAGTCTTATTATTTCTAGAAGAGAATGCAAGGGAGACCATGTAATTGCTTGCCAAATTTTGCCAATCACTTGTCAGTGGATGTTTTCTTCCATAGCTTTAAACTGTAAGAGGAAGCAGTGTGTGTCACATAGCAGAAACTATTAATGACTGACTCCAGAGGGCCAGTAAAGCACACCTTAGCATAACACACAAGGATGGGTCCATAGGGATGACAAACTCCTCTAGCCACTGAGGTCTAAAGCAAGGTGCTAACCTTATATGCCAATATAACCTTATATTCAGCAGTGGCCTGGGTGGTTGTACCTGCACTCGTTTCCTTGAGTTGTCAGAAAGCCAATAAAGCTCTGAAAAATACATTTGACTTGGTCTGGGGTAATGATTATTTGGCACGGTAACACTGACTGTAAGCACTTTCTGTTTCCTCCCTTGAAATTTGAAATTTACCTTATATTTGGAGCTGCCTGACGTTCATGCCAGTGCAGTGTCTTCATATGAGCTGTCTTTGTTGCACTCAACGCCAGTGAACTAACCTCTTGAAGTTAATCTGAAGACAGGGTTTTGTCTCTGGATTTAGAGTGGTAAATAAATGTGACCATGGTTGAATGGTTAAAGGAATACCCTGTAAATAAAGATAAGAAACACTTACAAATAAGGTAGTTTTTTTCTATTTTTCTGATGTTTTAAAAGATGAAACTCTGAATGACTAGCACTGTTCCTTTTGAGTTTTATCCCAAGAAGAATTGACCATGGGGATTTGTATTTGCATTTGCTACAGTGAGAGACAGGTAGATGCTTCTGGCAACATCCACTGTTGAGAATGCACTTCTGTTGGTGTGCCCGCCCAGAGGGATGACAAGTGCTGCTGTGTTACTGCAGTCTCCCACTGTCCTTTGCTCCTAGGCCTTTGCTGATCTCACATGGCCTCACTTAAGGTTTCATCTGAGGGATAAGGTCTCACTTGAGGAATATGCTCATGTGGTCCTGAACCACAGCTTGAAAACTCACTGGATGTATGTTATATCACTGAAGACATCTGTTTGTTTGCAAGAAGGCAATTTTTTTTTCTGGGAAATTATTATACTGTGTTTTCTTTGTGTGATTAATAATAAGGGACAGTGTAATCCTACATATCATAACCGAGGTACTTGCTGAAACAGGAAACAAGAAGTGTGCCGTCGATGAGATTCCTTCTACTTATGAATGCACAGCATATAGCACTGAATATGTAACCCTTGAGCACTCCAGACTTTCTGTGGTTCCTTTGTGCACTTTGGTGAAGCAGATATCCATCCTCTTGAGTTTGGATTGCAGGTTTTCATGGAGCTTTTGAGAGATCTCAGCACTCTTTCCTCAGAACAGGTATCGCTCAGCATCTGTGGGCAACCACATTCAAACTCCTCATCTAAACCTTAAGACCCAATACAGCTTTCATATAAGCTGAAAAGCTGAAAAACAAGAAAATGCATGATTTATGCTAGTTCTAAAAGGATTAGCAGTTTTGGAATGTAATAGGTAGAACTTAGTTAAGATTCAGATGCTGAACTTAGATACAAACTAGTAGAAACTGAGACAGATTTGAATCCCGCTTCATATGCACTCTCAGGAAATACTTAGTGGTTTATGTACGGTAGGAATGGAAAATGAAAAGCTTACTTCTGTGTCTGTATTTTTTATTCAATACTTTCATTTACTTTACAGAATCTGACTGTATCTTTATGCCCGTGTCTGTGTAGAGGCTTTTTACGTGTGTTAAGAGCTCTTCAATAAATCTGAACTTTATAATTTTTATAACATTGTCAATCAGAACAGAGAATTTCTAATGGACAGTCGGTTCACAAGCATTACCAATGCACGTTCTTCCATCTTCTGCCAGCTTGTAAGGATCAGTACAGAGACATTTGTAGCTGCCTTCAGTATTAATGCATTTAGCAGAAAGAGAGCATGGTGGATTGATTTCATTTTCACATTCATTGATGTCTGCAAAATGAATACACACTGATCAATAATCATTACAAATTACAGAGGGAACACTACCTTCTCATATACACCTCCTCCAAGGATTCATAAATGAAAGGTATTGTACACTTTCTATGACACATGGATGCTGCCAAAGATCCTCATTATTACTGTTTAAAGCACAAAGTTTAGTTGTTTTGTTTTGACTTTTTTTTTTCTATTCATTCTTAAGATGCAAATCATGAAAAAAAAAATGTTAGTTTGGTAATCTGTCACAAGCTACAAATGGCAATTGGCTGAACTTTAAAAAATGCGTACTGTAAACTTGAGAGCTGTTCTTGCACATATTTATGTTCTAAGACTTTGAGTTCCTCTATAAATTTTTCCCATAATGTGCTCTATAGTGGTAGCAAAAATAATAACACTGACACAGTTCTCTATGCTTCTAGGCATGATTTTGAGGAGCCAAGGATTCAGGTTAGCTTTGGATACAAAATTTATAGCAGTAATCTGTGATATCACTGCAAAGTTTGTTGTTTCTAGGTGTTGTATAAATTCTGCGAAATGACAATGTCCTGATAGAATGATGAGAAGATGAAAAATTATATATTGGAAAATGCACTTAAACATGTTGTTCCTGAGGCCACTCAAGGCCTTTCACTCACATTCTGATTATGTGATGAAATGGGAGTTGGTGTGGCATGCAGGATAGAAAGTGAGGGAAAGAATAACATCTTTTCCATATTTCTGCATCTTCTTTCTATATTTACTTGCAGGGCTTGAGTTAGTCACCTAAAGACAGGTGTCCAGCACCGTTTTAGACAGTTTCCCATAGGTCCTGTATAATATTTGCCAGTCTTTCAATGCCTCTGACTCATAGAATCAGAGAGTCATAGGATCATTAAGGTTGGAAAAGACCTCCAAGATTAAGTCCAACCGTCAACCCAACACCCATGGTATGGGGAAGCACTGCAAGCCCATATGTCGGCAACTAGCTGAGCCTTCAGTGTCTTCTGTTTTTGATTATATTCTTTTCCTTTCCTCACCTTTAGGCTAAGTAGCTCTTTTTGATCAGTATTAGAAACTGACCCTGTAGGAATGATTTACTGACTTAGTTTAGCAGTCACTCAGATTACTTAAGGAATTCTGTCAAGCCTGATCCTCCCTTAAATGATAATACAAAGCAGTAGCTGTGTCCAAAGCTAGTGATCTACCGAGACAGTCGAAAGACTAATCATGCAAGGAATAATCTTAAACTTCAGAATCCTTAAGAAACACTAACACCCACAAAATCTCTCTGAAGCAGGAAAACAATCAGTTGTTCAGGATGAAGATTCCTGAATAAGTGTTACTCCCTTGAAGACTACATTTTCAGTTGACTCACACTGGCTTTGTCGTCGTCTGGGAAGGAAAACCTGCACAGGCTTTGCTAGCTGGAATTCAGATGTGCTATTTCAGCTTTTGGATATCCATAGTCATGTTATCTGTTAACTAGCTCTTTTTTTCCATCACTAAATTGTGCACGTCAGATCTCACCAGCCTACTCTACTGCTCAAAGAGATCAGTACTTTATTAAAGCAAAGTAAACAGAGTTATCTATCAAGAGTAAGATAACACTTAATATAAAGGAAGGTAGTACAGACTAGCAATAAATGACTTCCTGAATCAATAGAAATTATTTCTGTCAGAGTTAGTAAGCAGGAATTAACAGCTCTCAAATTCCTATGCTTTTGCCAGCAGGCCACTCTGTCTTTTCCAAAGCAGCATATAATTTTGAAACCATCTGCAGAAATGCTCAGCTCTATCCTCCTAGTTATATTGCTTGACTTCTTCCTAATTTGCTGAACATTTAAAAGAATGAGAACACATTGCACAGACATGCATGGAACAAAGAGCTTTCTACTGTAAAATTCAAGTAGCATCTGCATAAGTGGGTTTTGATGGTTTTCCTTTAATAAAGGCATTGCTTACTTAATATATGCAACAGCTTGTTTTTCTATAGCAGATATACAGTCTTTTCTTTATGTTACTGAACATATTAAAAGAAACTAGGACAAGGAATGATTCATTCATGTAACTTATTTATTCAGTTTGCTGCCAGAACATTAATCTATTGAAAGTATTTTATTATAATTCATTTAACAGCTTTATTACTTTATATGGTATTTATGTGGGTGGAATTCAGTGGATAAATAGGATTTGAATAAAGGAAAGAGCTGCAAATTTCATTTGACTTTTCCCATACCAGGTATACAATTAGAATGAATAGCTTTCCATTCTGCTGTCACAGAAATACTGATAAGCAGACTTCACTGCAGATCAGCTGCAGCACTTGCATTCAAATTAATTTATCACCATCTATAATATATGCCTAAATATGGCCTGTTCAGGTTTCATTTTCCCTGATGTTCTTATAAAGCTGAACAGTTTGAGTGTGTGTATATACATATACTTTTATATATACAAAAAATTATAAAAATAAATATAAATATACACACTCCCCATTATAAATACACACGTATGAAATGTGAACAGAGAGAATTCATCCTTCATAGCTGCGCAGAGTGAAGGTCTTGTAATTATATAGTAGCCACATTCTCTTTCTTCCTATCCTATTCTATTCAACTGTAAAAATCAGGCAAAAGGAAGATAAAGAAGATAAAATAATAATTAAAATAACAGAAAAGTATTCCCCTGAAAAGCTGCATGAAATGTCAAAAGACAATATCTTTTTACTGATTTTTCACCTGCTCTACTTTTGTACCTGCAGAACTAATTCAGTTCTGGCAAATCTTTTCACTGCTATTTGGGGTAGGGACTTTGGAACTGAACTGATAATTAATTTGCTTAATTTCACTTGTTCACTTTTTTCTTTGTCACTTTTGCTTAACTTATTAGGATGATACCTGGACTACTGGTGCTGTGCTCATTTTGTGTCTAAAGCATCCATTGAAACAATGCTAGGAAAATTACAACTGTCTTGCTGTTATGCTGAATGTTGGGAGAAGCAACGCATAATTATGTTTTGGTGTTTTTTTCCCTATTGGTTGTTAATTGACTGATTTTTGCTTTATCAGGTAATTTTTAGTGAAAAATTCCTATCATCAAGCTGATTGCTGAATCAGGATGGGCAGAGATTGAAATAGCAATTCTGGAGCAAGTAGAGTTTCACATTATGATGTTATCATACCTACAAACCCAGAAGGTTGACTACAAGAGAGGACAGGGGGGAGACCACTTCCAATGAGTTGTGCTGGACTTTAGCTTTTAGAAACTTCAGAAACAATAACAAAGAAATAGATACCTATACAAATGGGAACCTCAAAGTTCCATCCTTTACTTGTGCAGGTTAATTGCTCTTCTCCTTGTAATTGGAATCCATATTGACATGAATAAGTCACTGTAGATTTTTCAAAATCTGAACAGTACACAAAATCACCATTTTTCACACTCTTTGGTGTTCCACATATTTCCCCTACAAATAAAAAGACTTTGTTACAAGCTTTTAAAAAATTACTACCTTACTCTTGAAAATGGATGTTATTCTCCATTACTGTTATAAATTAATTGCAGTGAAATTACTCACATGTTTTAAGGTGATCAAGAATTTAGTTGCTCAATTCTGAACAAGAATTTATATGGAATACCTCAGGTTTGACTTCTAATCTTTTTAAAATTCATGTTACCTTCTAACAGTATGTTCGGTAGAGTTCTTGATTAATATTTTCTGTCTAAGAACGCCTGCCCCAATTGCCTGAATATATCGCAAGCCATTCATGTTATCAGAGTGAAGTTGACAAACACTATCTTTTTTACAGAGGTAGATGAGGAAGGAGAGAAAGACCTAGATCACCTTTCGAAGTGGTAGATATATTAAAGATCTGCACCAGACCAGTAACTCAAGACCTGCCACCACCAAGGTCAGTGCTTTAACTGCCAATTACTCTCCCCTCCTGTCAGAAAAGACTTGTAATTACCAGATTACCTGCTTGATAGAATTCTTGCCAAGCTTCTAAGTTCATCCCAGGTACACTGTCACAGTGCTTAAAATCTTGTGGAAACTTTCCAAGTTGAAAGGCATCTGCTGGCACTTCAGAAATCCCTGTATTGTCACAAATCACGCGGGACAATGAGTGTTTTTTGAGTTCATGCTTTTGAGCTTCTGTGAAAACGTTATCATTCTCCCACCAAAATCTGGAAAGATTGATAGAAATATTTTGAAAAGGTCAAATTCAAAGGGTACTTTTACTTTCACAGTACCCTTTGTAAAAGACAAAAATAAGGATTACAACAAATGTAGATGGATAAAACAATAATAAAAGTAAAAACCATGATCTGAAGACTTGCATATCCAGCTTGAAAATCACAAAAAGGCTACTGTGATTCTGAAATACTGGTCAACTCAGACGATGTGTTAAATTCATCTACTTAAAACTGTTAATTTTTACATTTGCAGAATTGCTTCTCATTGATGTGACAGGGCCACATAAAAAGTTACAATGCTGAAAGAAAAGCTTGGAACTAATTTCTCTGAACTGGATACTTAATCTTATGCACACCAGCATTCACTACACACTTGCAAATTGCTTTGAGCGTAAATTACAGGAGAATTACAGAAAGAGCCATAACAGATTTTCCTCTACCATAGCTTTTGAATTCTGCTTGCCATTACTGAATGGTTGCTATGAAAACAGGTATTGCTGAACGCTCCTCTGTTTAATATGGAGTTCTTAATTTGCTAAGCAAACTGTAGATATGCAGATTAATAATAGTAGAAAATTGTAAGCCTGTAATTGTGCATTTGAGCATACAAAAAAGGTAAGCTAAGAGGACTGGCTGGAACAGAACAGAGCTGCCTCTCCTATTTTGTCAGATTGTGAGTGCGGTGGCAAAAGAGAACCAGTTGGTGCTACAAAGGTGTATCTATTAAATTATATACATTACATATAATATATATGTGTGCATATACATACATATGTGTTTAAAGATAAAAAGAAAAGGAAATAAAACATGGGGGGAGAAAAGAAAATATAAACATTTTGTGCATAAAGCCATGTCATGAATGGCAAGAAAATATTTCTGTAGAGTTTGACAGCACATCTGCCTTAGTACATGAAACAGTATTGAGCACTGCTAAACTGCTAAACTGCCTGAGTTCCCTGTGGTACTCAGGCCAATTAGGATTTTCCCAAATGCTAGGCAGGATTTGTGGTAACATGTCCTAATGTGATCACACTGTACAAATTAACCTCAGGTTTCACAGAGGAACTGGTGTCTGTAATACAGGAGGAACAAGGCTGGGCGCTTTCTTGAAAAGTCTGTGGGTTCTGTGTTTACATTTTTCTAATGAGAAGTGAACAGTAATGTTGACTGTGGACCCTGTGCAAACCTGGCACTTGTGAAGCACGTTGGGTTTTTACGATCCCCCTGAAATGGTATGGTGAAAATGAGACGTCTGATAGTCCTGTTTGTGTTCTGGGGAACATGAGGGCTGCTAGTGTGCCCTAGGGGGGCTTTTCAGGGCAAATTGGACCCTGCTGCCAACAGGAGTGTATTGGTTAAGTAAGGTATTTTGGAAAACTGGTTTAATAGGCAAATAGTTACCTACAGTAGGACAATTTGGAGAGAAACCTATCCCATTTTGCCTGTACTGGAGGAGGAGGCAATCTACAGTACCAGGGATGGAGTGAATGGCCCACACCCAGCAGCACTGTGACAAGAAGTGCAGGAGAGATGGAGAGGCTGGAGACAGATGCCTTCCTCCTACTCTTCACCTGTACACTGTCCCCAACTTCTCAGAGCATCCTGAAACCTCACTGCCCGTTCCCAGTTCTCTTCCCACAACCAAAACCATCAGAGACTTTGCTCCACTCAGGTCTCCTACACCTGCCATTTCCCCTTTCATGTACCTTAAAACTTCTTCTACTTTCATCACCAAATTCAGTTTTATCTACATTGCAGAGAAAGCTTGAGCAGAAAATTATCTTTTAATCTACCCAGCAGATAGGTGTTCACTCTAACAAAGGTTGCTCCAACAGATCTGTATCAGGTGATCAAAATTTTACAGGTGAATTTTACAGGGTTAGAGTAAAAAAAGAAAGAAAAGAGAAAAAAAAAGAGGCACAAGCCCTCCTATGCAAAGAATGACAAGTCAGCTTCAGAATCTTTGCCCAACTATTGCAAATCCTGACATCAAAAAAAGATACAGAGTAGGAAGAGATGAAAAAAGAAAGTAAAGGCTGATGGAACAGAAAAAATTTGTTTCAGGTTGTTTGGCTGAGGTTAAGACATTGCCTGAGTTTAGTACACTGGAAAAATGAATCCCTTCATGTTTTGTCAGATTACTGTCAAAAGTTTTTTAAGGCTACTGGGATGGAGTTCAATCAGTCAAAAATACCACTTAGTCCTGATTTCTGAACTTAAATGAGTATGTTAGAAGAGATGTTTTGAAATCCCTACTTATTGACATGTCAGTTAGGGTATCTATCAGGCATGTAGTGTTACTGGTGCAGATATAGATAATACCCAATACTGTACCTGACAAGGCACTGCAAACAATGTTAGACGTTTCCATTCTTCTACTACTATGTGACAACTATAACATATTTCTACATACTTCTAACTTCGCTTAGATAGTTCCTTATCATAGTATTAATAGCAATACCATTTCACATTTAAGTTACCTGACACAAAATTTGTGGCAGAAACTTGGGCAATTCTTTTATTACTAGAACTCTTTTTCGCAATTTGAAGTTAATGTTAAATTGAGCTTAATTAATGTTAGTAGTATCATAAGACACTGAATAATAATAAGAAGTATCCTAAGGCACTGAACAGTGGAAGCAAGGCTGGAAGGGCCTCAGTAGATTATCCTTCCCCAGATAAAGTCAAGTGTGCCTGTAAGATTCAAAAGACTTTAGCTGTGTTTTTAACACAACTGAGTGGAATGTTTATTGTCTGTACAGTTTGTGCTAATAAGATACCACCTTTATGATTAACGTCATTTTTTCCTGTGAACTAATTAATTAACATTTTTAAAAGTTCAGATTTAAATTCTGCCTTGGATGCTTATTTACATAATGTTTTCTTTCCACAACAGTGACTTATGAGAGGAGCTTAAAGGTGAGCGTAAGGACCGGATGTACTTAAAACACCACTGCTGGCATGGTGTGAGCAGTTTAAAATTAGTCTTCTCATGAGATTCAAAACTACTGCCACAAGTACGTCACAGAAATGAAAATAAAGTTGGTTTTATAATTGCTTCAGGAGCAGAAGTAAGATATAAACTGCATCTTGCACCCCTTTGTGACCTGCAGCTGCATTTGTCCTGCCTTCCTGGTGTAGAAGGTTGAACTGGCACAAGATTGTGGTGGTGATTGTGCAGGGTTGGGTGAGGAGACATACTGTGCTGTGTCCAATGACGCAATTCTGGGAGCATTCTACATGTCAGTTCACATAAGACTAGGCACATGGTGTTTTTATGATCCCCTCTAGGAAGCCTGAATCACAGCTCTCTGTCTATCCCTTCCAACTTTGCTGTGGTTGCCATGGAAAAGGTTGAAGTTCTTCCAGTTAAGGACCCTGAGCCCAGTGCAGCCCTCAGGGATCAGATAGCTAAAGCCTGAACAGTACTACATCCATCCACAGAGAAGTTAGCTGCCCCTGGCACAATTAACTGCTGTTGGCATCTTGCATTTCCACCAGGAGTGCAAAGTTGGGCATCTCAATACCACAGAAACAATCTCCATGTCATCTGGAATTGGAATTATATGCACATCAAATAAGAATAAGCAAAAGCTTATCCAACAAAATTGAAGGAGCGAAGTTAAAAACATGGAAGTGGCAGGGAATAATTTGTGTAAAGCCTGTTGAAGTATCATCTCTTATGTTCTGGGAAGTATCCTCACGTATCTGTAAAATCTCCATTGCTTCTGCATATTACACAAATGATTCAGCAGCATGAATAAACTCACCGGTCACCATCTCTTAGTGCTTTCATTTGCTTTCCAATTATACACGCAAACAGGGGACCTGTTCTAGCACCTGGGAGAAAGTCTTCTACCAGACCACCAAGCCAAACATCAATATTGCTAGGATTATGGTACAATTCCATGATTTTTTCACTAACATTGTGATTGGTTATTACTGTATTCAGGTCAGTTTGAGTTTCCAGTTTTGGTAAGCCACAGAATTCTCGCCAGTCATTATAACCTGTAAATATTATGTTAAAAGTAAGATTAGATTTGGCTGGTACGCATGACATGTAAAATTCATAAATTTATGTGCACCAGATTCTGACTACCTTAATCATAGTCATAGACGGTTGTGTCTAAAAATAAGCCTTTTATTATTCATTACACTGATAAGGGAAATGAGGTCAGGATCTGAAACTACAGTATATGTAATTGCTACCTCATTTTAATGATGGAAAACAAAAGTTTAAATCAATTCTCGCATATTTAAGCAATGGAAACATGATAAAAGATAATAGGAGCATGCACTGTGTCTTGAGATTTCCACATTAGGAATACAGGAGTTAGTTAGGTGAAGAGTGGGCAATAAATAACCCGAATGAAGTTAGTAACCAAAGCACTTTACTAAGGAGACTGTCCTAGGGAACATGTCCAGCTCTCTGGAAAATATATTTCTTTTACATTCTTTTACATCATTGGAATTATACACATGCACACACACTCTGTCCCCCAACAAAAATAGAATTTCTGGTCTGGGAGATCAAACTTCCATTTCTAGCCCTGTGTAGCTGAGAGCTTTAAACTCCAGCCTGGAGCCAGACTTCATTTCTACTGCCCATGGCCAATGACTTGTGTATTTCTAGCTGCAGAATTGCACAGAAGAAACATAGGGTTGTCAGGATACAGTTTTAGAAATGAAAAAGGAAGAGGCCCTGTCTACCATGCTGAAGGTTGCTGCCTCTGCTCTCAGAAGCGGTGGCATGCTTGTAAGAGATTTTTACATAGGACTGCGAATCCACTGTGTGTTTTAACAGCTGATGCAATCAAACTGAACTAAGCTCCAGCAGTCTTCCTCTAAGCTGGTACACCCATGGCTAATGCTCCTTGACTATTAGTTCAATCTCTCCCTGAGCTGACTGGAGTAAGAAACTCAGGCACAAAATGTGTAATATTTCTCAACACCCACAAAAGCCACCTACATCACTGCTGGAGACATCTTAACACCTTGTATGGTTGGTAGAGCCAATGACATTGTGTTTAAGTCGGCATGTCCCATAGGCTGGCGGCAGCATGCTGATGGCAAATAGCTGTTGTAGGCAGAGAACTCACTTCTCTAGAGCTGGTTCCATCAAGCACAAGCCTCAGGTATCTACGTCAAGCACACCCGGATCCACTCACTAGTACTGTCCTTCCAGATTACAGAATTAACAGGTTATTTTAATTTCAAATGCTGGGGGATATTTGGTTTCCATCAAAGTTAAAAATATTAGCTACTTATAGTTTAAGTTACTTGTCTGATTACTAAAGCTAGTATTTAAAATCTTACAATTACATTCCAAACATAAGGAATTATAGTTCAGTTACAAGTTGGGAGAAAATTCAAGAAAAATCACTTGACCTGGGAGTCCGTGATCACGGCCACGTTGTAAATTTAATGATGCTAAATCAAGTGAACCCTTATTAGACAACACAAAGAGTTTTTCTGTTAATTCTTCATTCAGTAGTTGATCTTGCACCTGCAGTTTTGCTGAATGTGCTAGAAGACCCCTTAGTAAAGGATCCAAGCCTCCTTTAAACACAAAAATAACATAATGTTACAGTGTATATATAAATCATAACTTTCTTAACAAATGCAAATGCATTTACACTTCTATGTTTTTTAAACATTGGCCACAGGCTTTTACATTCAAACATAAGTAAAAATGTGCTGCAGGTTGAAAAAGAAATAACAGTGCTATGAAAATGTTCCATCTGCTTCTTTAGGTGTAAGAAAATTTGCAACCTGGTAATAGATTAATCCACAAAAAAGATATGAAATATCTTCATCATCAGTCATCAATCCATTGTCAATCTACCAGACTGTTTTAATCTGGAGAATAAATTTTTTCTGATTGAGAGAACTTTTTAAGTCAAAATAATTGTTCCAGTTCATGTTAATGCTCTGGAACCCATTTAACAGCTTCATTCAGTGATGCAATCAAATAAATGTTCCTATTCCTAATTCACAGTAAGTAACTTTGAAAAAAATTATAATATTCTGGAAAAAAATTCCAAACAGTTTAAATAAAAACATACCTTGTTTAATGAGCCTCCAGGGACTAAAGAAAACTTCATGCAAATGAAGATTTGGGAGTTCTGGATCATCTAAATAATGTGCATTCAATCGTCTTACTATTGGCTGGATTGTTGCATGACCAAAACGAAAAGCAGCAGTTGAAAATACATTAGAAACCGTAGGATTCATTGTGGGATCATAACCTCTATAAAGGCCAATATACAGATTAAAAGCATCTGGACCAATTATTTTGGGAATGTAATCTCGTAAAGTAATAATCTGAAAGAGAAGAATAAGAAACATTTATCATTTGATGTCTTTACAGGTGAATAATAATGATTCCCCCATGCTAAATACATTATTCTTCACTCATCTTTCCCCAAGCATTTGTCATGGCTAAGAGCAGTATCAGCTGATAAAAAATACCATTCTTGTTTTTGCAGTAAGGAGACAAATGACTGGAGAGCATGAGTGGCACGGCTCAGTGCAGCATGACAGTCAGGCCCCTGTTAGCTCCTACCATAAATGCTAGACCAAAGCCTCCTGAGTAGAGTTTATCATTGTTGCTCACATCTAGTCCATGTGTGTTATCCAGCTCACAGCAGGTGTGCTGAAATTCAAAGCCCTGATTGTGATGGTGTAAATTACAATGCACTTAAAAATGGCAATGAAAGCATGAATTACTATGAAATCTTTCAAGAATGCTTGTGATATGAACAGATTCTATTTTCAGACATATATTTGTGACACCTATCCTCTTTACTGCACATTTGAAATGACCAGGCTTTAAAATACTGGTGTCCAGAATCCCTTGGTAGACATTTTATGCTAAACTCAAGCCAATTTATAGACTAAAAAATCCACTTCAAAAATGAAAATGCTGATAACCACCTTCTGTCAAATGCTTTTATAATGTAATAGCTTTACAATCACATGAAAAAAACATATGAGTAATCATGACCAAAAGAAAAAGGGATGATCTAATGTACCAAATAAAATGAAAGTGCATTATAGGTTAAAGATAATGCTGAACTCAATAAACCATAATGGGATGAATATGAAGCATAATGACCTCAATAAAATACCTTATAGATTCAATATAGTGTGCAATAAAATATACAGACAAATGTACTTTGAGCTTGATATAGTGCATATTGAAAAGCTAGTTGGCATAAAATGACCTTATGAAAAACTTGTATCTTTGTTTTAGGCACAGCACAGAGACAAGCAAATGCCTCCAGAATTCACTTGGTTTTCTCAGAAGGCAGAGGTAATAACCTCTTTACTTTTTCAAGTTAGGTGATGCAGTGAACAAAATATTTGAAAGACAATAGGTTAAAATTCCTTTTACAGCTCCTTTAGTAGAACATATGAAGAAAATAATGGAATTGCTAGAAATTAATACTGACTCTGTCATTTGAGAAGTTGACCTTTTGCTGTATTCACAAAGGTATTGCAAGACAGCAGTTCTTTCTAAATTTAGTTTTAGAGTTTGTTTTTACAAGCAAAGACTTTAAATTGGACTAGGTTAGCCATGGACACAAACATCTTGATATGACCTTCATTTTTTGGTTCACTGTGAATGAAATCCCAAGCTAAGCTGTTGATAAAGGCCAGATTCCCCGAAGGAAAGGGCAATTCATATTTTTCGTCTCCTCCAGAGATATGATCTTCATTTCTTGTTTCTTTGGTGGGGGAAGGGGTGTCACCATTTCAAGACATGGAAATTAAAAACCTAAGGTAAAGAGGGGTCTTATGCTTGCCTTGAGCTAGGAGAGGCATCTGCTTGATGGAAACTTCCAATGGCTAAGTAACGCTCCATCAAGCGGAGATGACTTTTAGACAACACAAACTAAGAAGATACTATTAATACAGCAGAAGAAGATACTGCTAGAAAGAATCTGGAGTCTGACAGAGAACCGTATCTAAAGTACATCAGCATGTAGCACCCAGTCTTTCTGTAGTCTCTGAACACACTTGTCTGAATTTGTCTGCATGAAGTCAAGGAGAGGCATGCTACAAGTTCTTAAAACTGACACATATATATGTTTTAAAGAAGGTGTAAACAGCTGGCAAACATCAAAATTCTTTTTGTCAAAATTCTTTTGCATGCAATCCCTGCTCTGAGAGAATGATTTGAAATATTTATCTCCTTTCATATTTGGCATAAATAAGCATAAAAATTTTTTAGATACAGTGTTCCTTCAACAACTGACATTCTCCTGTGGAAGCAAAGGAATATTATTGTCTAAGAATATGTCAACAAAATCAGACCCTGAAAGGGACTGTTTTGGTTTCGGCTGCCGCCGGCAACAAAAGCGCCATGCGGC